TTGTTAAAATTAGATTCAGGTAAAATAGGAAATGGTAGTTTTCGGTACTTGGGCAACCCTTATTTAACGTTTGACAACATGTTTTTAGAGTTAATAATTGTACATGAGGTCTCTAAAATATAACCCTAATTTTAAATTAAATTTTAAACTTTCAAATATTATACATCAATTTTTAAACTATGACTTTCATTTTAAATTAGTCTATTTATTTTAAAACATTCTACATCAATCCTCTAACTATCAATATCGTGCCATTCTAATCACCCCCTTAACGTTTCATTAACTCTACCAATTTTTAAAGGTCATGATAATTATTATGTGACCTAAAACATTAATTTGTTTTGAAGGCTCTGAGAATTAAATCTATGATCATCTAAAAGGATAATTTATTTTTGAAGGTCCTTAGAAAGTTTAGAAGGTCATGGGTTCAATTCTCAAGACCTCTACAAATATATTAAATTTTGAATTAGTAAATTTAACAGCACGTTATCGAAATGATCAAAATGAAATAATACTAATAGTTTGAGTATTGATACATAATGTTTTAAAGTTTTAAAGATTTAATTAAAGATTAATTGAGAATGGAGTTCATAATTTGAGGATTGATATAGAATATTTTGAAGTTTAGGGACTAATATAAAATAAGAGTCATAGTTTAGGGGCATATATGAGATATCTCTGTTTTATGAAAAATTATCTTATTGATTAAAATTTTAGGATACATGAATATTTTACCATTAAATGAAGTTCAATACTTAGTTAAAATTAACAACATATCATATATAGCTGAGATGTAAGTAATAAATAATTTATATACTAATATATAATATTATATTTTTATAATATATAATAAAAATAATATAATTAATAATATTTACTGTTTTAATAAAAATATTATTCCATATTATACGTTAGTGGCTAGATAGAAATTATTTTATAATTTGAAGATCTCATAGATAAAATCTACAGTTTGATGGTCAAAATAAAATCAGCCTTATAATATAGTGAATATACAAATAAATTACCCAAAAAATTAAAATATAAAACAAAATAACAAATTTAAAACATTTGGAATAATTTAAAATCTATAACTTATATATAATTAAATAATTAATAACAAAATTTAAATAGAAAACCCGTCATGAATTTAAGCACGGGTCATGAATTAACGACATCAATCTGTCATATCAAGAAGATTGGTTTGCATAATATTTCACTTTTCAATTCCAATAATGAACGTAACAAATTCTATGACTATGGAATATATAAATGCACGTAATAGATGGTTGGCGGTGGACGCATACAAGAGAAAAGGTTTTTGGCATTTGGTCTTTAATCAATATGAATATGACAAATAAAAATGAGATAAAAAGGTATATGATGTATTTGTACTTTTGAAAAAGAAAAAAAACTGATTATCATATTCATTTTTTTTCTTAATGTGATATTCCAACTCACAATATAAACATGATGTAATTTTTTGGCTAATATTTTTGGTCTGACCGTTAAAGTGTTGATGTTGAGTTCATGATGCTGACATGACAGTTCACGGTAACGATATAGTAGTCCATGGTGACATATTAACGTGACAAATAGCATGACATATGAGTTAAATTGGTAACTCTAAGTCTCTAACATGACAGATAGATCACCACATCAACACCATGAATTGGTACGATAGTAATGTAATAGCCAACAACAAAAAAACATTGATCAAAATGTCATATTAGATTTATTTTTTAAGTTAGAGAATAACACGAATGTCATATTGATTTTTTCCCTAGAAAATACAGGACATCTGATGTGTTTTTGCATGAAAATAACAGTTCGGTAACAGACAAGTGCATTCCTGAACCTTAACACACCGGACTTTGAATCTGCAAAGAGACTGACTTATTTTCCTAGGTAAACTACCCATGCTCAATCCAACCTTAACAATCAAATAAATTTTATCTTAGTTTTTTATAGTGTATAGATTATCCAACTACTGCTCAATTGACAATAAATTATCATCTTATTTATCGATATTATATAGATTTATCAAGTGACTAGTTTTTCTTCATGAGTATATATGAGTTTTTTTTATTATTTCATTTTATTTATTGCAAAGATAATTTCAATATAAACATAAAATATTTAAAAATTAGAGAGTTTTAAATTATAATTTGAATAATTTTTTAAATTATAATTTGAATAATTATACATCGTTAAAAAGAAAAAAAAAATAGTATTTTGACCATGAAGTTGTACCTAGTGGAGTATGATTTTAGTACCTTCAACTTTTTGGTTCAACTTAAAATTTTCATCACAGAGAGCCACGTTCTGCTTTAGGAACGTGTTATACAATATATTAATTTTTAAAATAAATCATAAGAAATTTTTTTAAAAAAATATCGAAATTTAAGAAAAGTACAACAAATTATAAAGCATGTTTTGAGTTTTAATGGATTTTCTAAACTTCTAGAGTATTTCTAATTTAATATACATTATATGTCATGTTCTGAGAGTGTTATGCGATATTTTTCGTAATGAAAATTAAATAGAGTAACACGCTTCGTGTCAAGTTAAAAAAATCAGATACGAAAATGATAATAAGATACAACTTCAAGGGTTAAAATACCATTTAACACTTAAAACATATATGTTTGTAATGTTTAAAAGATGAATATAAAAAATATAGATTATCATTATGTAGAGATATAAAAGTATAAGATGAGTCTATCACGCTCGACGAACACTGATGAATATCATTAATTTAATTTATAAAAATTTAAAATTTTAAGACTCAATGTATAATTATAAATTAGTTAAAAATTTAAAGGTAAGTTATTTAAAATAAGGGTAAAGTATACCACTGACCACCTAACTATTTCCCCATTTCATATTGATCACCATTTTGGAAATATTTTCAATTAGGTCACTCATATATTTAAATGCATTCAATTAAGTCACTTGTCGTTCATATTTAACAGAGAACCTGATGTGGCAGTTAAAATATTTTAGTATAATTACACATTTGGTCACTGCTACTTATATATTAGATCAGTTTGGTCCTAATTTTAATAAATTAAAATGAACTTAACCCCATATCAAATAGTATCACATGTCACCAACCGATTGAAAGATTAAATTTATTTTAATTTAATATATTTTTCTCACCAAACAGAAGGTGAGACCCTCTAAAGGAAAGAAAATTTTGGATTCTTAAATGATACGTAGGGGAATTGAACACGCAATTCCTAGGTTGAAGAAGCAAGGCTCAACCATTGGGCCAAATTCGTTAATTGATTCAAATTTGACTACATATGTTATTTATTCTATTTATTAGTGTAAACTTAAATTCTTAATATTTTATATATCTTAATTTAAATTCACATATTAAATTAATTTTACATCTTAAAATTAAAAATATATTTTATTTTTATATTAACTTATTAAATTTATTTTATTATTGTCTTAACCTAAAAATATATTTTATTCTTATTTTAACTTAAAAATATTTTTTAGTCTTTATCTTAACTTAAAAATATATATTTTATTCTTATGTTAACTTATTACATAATTTATATTCTTAACTTAAATTATTAAATATATTATATTATTACCTTAAGTTTATTAAAATAATTAATTCTTATTTTAACTTAAAACATATCTTTTGTTCTTATCTTAACTTAAAAGTATATTTTTATTTTAACTAAAAAATATATTTTATTTTTATCTTAACTACAAAAAATATATTATATTTTTATCTTAAATTTAAAGAATTATCATAACAAAATATAAATATTTAAATCAATATAAGAATAAATTATATTTTTTAATTTAATATAAGATTAAAATATATTTTTTAAATTAAAATAAGAATAAAATATATTTTTAGGTTAAGAAAAGAATAAAATATATTTAATAAGTTAAGATAAAAAATATTTTAATGTTAAGATGTAAAATTAATTTAATATGTGAATTTAAGTTAAGATATATAAAATATTAAGAATTTAAGTTTACACTAATATACAACATATATAAGTAATGTAGTCGAGTTTAAATTAAATAACTACTTTGGCCCAATGGTTTAGCCTTACTTCTTTAACCCAGGAACCTTGGCTGCAATCCCCCTGGCTATCATTTTAACGTTCAAAATTTTCTTTCCTTCAGAGGTAATGATTGGTGAGAAAAATATATTCACCTAAAATATATTCACTAAACATTGACTCAAAATTTATATGATTTAATTATTTTTAAGACATTTAAATTTTAAAATTAGTAAAATTAAACCCTCAATCTCTTAATTTTTTTATGATTTTTTTAATATCATATTTATTTTAAAATTAAATAACTTACTCCGAGATTTAAATTATGATTATGATACCCATTTTAATTGTCTTGCGTTTATTACGATTATGAAAATAGCAGATGCTATTGCGAGTATCGTAATTGTGCAATAACAATTTCAGATGACATCTTTACCGTTATATAAAAGTTACTATTAAAATAACTAACTACTATTTAAATTCTTATTTACCCCTTCGTAATTTAATCCAAGATCTGTCCCAATGTACATTACACCGCACAGAAAGTTCAACTGAGCTGGGACCCGAATGCAACTTGTAACCTACACAGAAAGATTCTCCCAGCCTGGCTAACCATGTCACCTTCTCGAGCAAAAAGCCAGTACAATGAACACTCCCCACAAGCGTATCTGCAACAATCACGGGCTTAATTTTCATTCTTCATAGTAATAAATAAACAAGTTTCAACACGTAAAATAAATCAATCACATCTTCTCTCTTTCATTTTCAAATTTTCAATTCCCCTTGGAAGCAAACTAAATTGCTCTGTCCCTCTCCCAAGACATTAAAGCCCGCACTACTCAACTTTTGCAAAAATAATTCGAACAGTGGTCACTATGATTCGCATCAGAGTCTCGTATAAATATGCCAATTTTGACAATGGCACCCTGTGGTTTTCAAGTTTTCCTTTTTATCACTTTATCAAATTTTATATTAAAGAATCGATGTTTGTAGTTCGGCCTCACATTCCACAATTTCTTTATCTATACTAAAATATTCTCACATTAAACCAATCGATTCCCATTTATATCTCTTGTGATCACCATCTTCAACCTGCAGCTAAAATGGTGTTCAAGAATCAGCATTACTTGTTTTTCTACATTCTTTGTTCGTTCTTGAAGTTAAATAAAGCTATCCCATCGTTTTTCGTGGCCCAAATTTCACCTTCCTCCAATGTATCGGGTGGTCACTGGCAGCTCTTGCAGTCAAGCGTAGGCGTCTCCGCCATGCACATGCAGCTCTTACCGAACAACAAAGTTCTCATCTTTGACCGTATGGATGCCGGCCCTTCCAACATTTCGTTACCCGCCGGAAGCTTCTGTCCTAAAAACGACTGTTCCGCCCACTCTGTCCTTTACGATGTTGTTTCCAACAATTTCCGTCCCCTCCGTGTATTAACCGACACCTGGTGCTCGTCCGGTTCCCTCGACCGCAACGGTACACTTATCCAAACTGGCGGATTCAATGACGGCGAAAAAGTTATTCGCTTGTACAAACCATGCGACGTCGACAGCACCGCCTGCGACTGGAACGAACTCAACGATACTCGCCTTATCGACCGTCGATGGTACGCTACGAATCAAGTTTTACCCGACGGACGCGTCATTATTGTTGGCGGTAGAAGGGCTTTTACCTACGAGTTTTACCCTAAACACGACTTCTTGAACAACAACAAGAGTTTTTACTTCCGTTTCTTGGTGGAAACCAGGGACCCTGAAGAGAACAACCTTTACCCTTTCCTTCATTTGTTACCAGATGGGAATCTATTCATTTTCGCCAACAAAAAATCAATTCTGTTTGATTATAGAGAAGGCATTGTTCTAAAACAGTTCCCTCTTATTCCCGGAGATGATAAGCGAAACTATCCCAGCAGCGGCTCTTCAGTTTTGCTTCCATTGAGGCTGTCTTCAGCGGGGCATCCGGTTGTTGAGGTGCTGGTGTGCGGCGGAGCACCGGCAGGGGCATTCTTGAAATCGGATAAGAGGAAAGTTTTTGTAGAGGCGTCGAGGACATGTGGCAGGCTGAGAGTGAACGACCCAAATCCGCAATGGCTTATAGAATCCATGCCCATGCCACGTGTCATGTCTGACATGGTAATGTTGCCCACTGGTGATGTGATCATTATCAACGGCGCTTCTAATGGAACCGCTGGTTGGGAGGATGCTGTGAACCCGGTTCTCAACCCGATTCTTTACTCGGTTAACGGAGAACCATCTCGAAGATTTACGGTTTTTCTTCCGTCAACAATTCCGAGAATGTATCACTCGTCGGCAATTCTTCTGCCAGATGGCAGGATATTAGTGGGTGGGAGCAATCCGCATATTACGTACGTCTTCACAGGACCATACCCCACCGAGTTGAGTTTGGAGGCTTATAATCCCTACTACATGGACACTAAATTCAACTCGTTGAAGCCCTCCATTGTATCTGTTGAGTCGGGGAATACGGTGTCGTATGGCCGTCGATTAGGAGTGTCCTTTTCTGTGTCGCTTTATAAGCGCGGCTCGGCGTTCGTGGCGCTGGTATCGCCGTCGTTCACGACGCACTCGCTCGGGATGAACCAACGCATGGTGGTTTTGAACACGGCGAGCGAGGATAGATTGGCGATCGGTAATTACAAGCTGGTATTGGATGGGCCCACCAATGCTAACGTGGCACCTCCTGGTTATTATATGCTGTTCGTGGTCCACTCGGGCATCCCTAGTCATGCAGTTTGGGTGAAGGTGATGTGATTTTGATTTATTTATCGAATCTGATCGATCATCGTGTACACAATTTGCTCAAATATTTTTTGTCTGTTGGTTCCTTATTTTAGCAAAATTTAAAGAAAATAATACATTAATAGCATAGTTTAGGTTGATAGGCTTCAAGCAGTAAGTTTAGAAGCTGAAATTTGATGGGTTTTCGCTTTCATTCTTGAAGATTTATATTATACAACAATTATACTTTGGTTTACACCCGTAGTTTTCGTCCTTTCTTTTGCAATCATGCATTTCATTTTTATATTTGCTTTCTGAATTACAAAGTAGCGATACATATATTTAATACTTTAGGATGATTAGGGATTATAATGTGATATCAGTCCAATGACAACGCCTATACACTGTATTCGTACTTAGAACTTAAAAAAAAACAATCATTTTTTAACTATTAAGATCACTTAATAAGTTTCAATGTTACAAAATATTTCTTTTTCAAGGAATCGTCGAGATTTGCTACACCAAATACTAATATTATTGATAAAAATACACATTTTTGGTAACAAAGTATAGTTCAGATAAGGGGACTCACCGGATCCACAGGAAGTTTCGAAGTTCCATCCACCATTACTAGTAGTTGAGCCCCCTGTGCCAACACCAGTATCAATCCTCGATCCCATATGTGGGTTAAAAAAAAGGATAGCGAACCAAGAGTCATCGATTAGGAAAATAAAGGTCAGGACCAAAGCAAGAAGATGGCAAAAGATTCAAAGAGGAGGATCCAACTAAGTGGGATTCTCGGATTTCCAAAACTTTGAAGGACATATCCACAGTTTGAGTGATGAGAAGGCCTTTCTCCACGAGGGAGGTGACACATTCCAAAACTACCACCATCCAACGACAAGCGATGGAGATCCAACATAATATAATTAAAGAGTTTTGGTCTAGATTTTTTATTATTTTAATATATTTTTCGACGAGGCAGACACTAAATTCATAAGAGACTATAAAAGACTATTAAGGAAAAACGACTATAAACGAGTGGTCTAAAAGTTTTAAAATTCAGCGGCTGCTAATGATGGTGGTTGACACGGTGGTCGAAAATTGTCGATGGGGTCGGTACAACAATAGATGGTTGAATTTTGAGGTAATTTAGAAAAACGTTGTAGACACCGAATTTCATCTACAATTGTGTAACATCTTGAATATCGGTCTATAATCTTTTTTGATTTATGGTGATTGGAAATTTCTTTTTTAACATATAATTGTGATATTTGACATTCCAAGAATCGATTAGTTTTATATTTAATTGTGAGTTAAAGAATAATCGAAATTGAATAGAGAGCTAGTGACCAAAAATGGAATAGATGAAAATTGGGTGTTAAAATAAAAAGTTGAAACTTAGGTGTTAAAGTAAAAGGAAGAGAAAAAAACAAAGGGCTAAGTATTAGTTTGATCTTTATGAGATAAAAAAATTGAAGTAATAATTTTATCAATTTTAAGTTACTGAACAATCTACTAACTTGTCAAATCTCACATTTTGGTCAGATTAGACATTTTATTTTTCTCCACTAAAGAGGAAAAAGTGTTACTTCAAATATTAATTTTATTGGTAAAAATATATAGGAAAATTTACGATATTTGATAAGTATCGATGAGTATTATTAACGATAAGCATCATTAATTTAATTTATAAAATTATAAAATACTCATCGTGTAATTATAAACTAACTAAAAATTTAAATGTAAATTATTTAAAATAAAATATTAATTATATTATTTTTTTATAATCTTATTTAAATAATAATTAGGCCAATTATTAACCTCTAAATTAAAAGATTTTAATTTTTTTCTTGTTTTAACGTGACGGCAGCGATATTAACAATGAAAACAGTAGTGACGGTGGCAATAGCAGTGGCGACGATTACAATAACAATAACGACGACGACGATGAAGATGGTAGCAACAATAGTGGCGGCAACGACAATGATGACGATGATGATAGTACAACAGTGACGACACAATGGCAACGATGACGGTAACGGTGATGACGACTTCAAAGCAAAAAATAAATTATAGTTTTTTAATTTAGGGGTTAATATTGATCTAATCATTATTTAAAATAAGATTATAAAAATAATGTAATTAAAATTTTATTTTAAATAATTTATGTTTACATTTTTAATTAATTTATAATTACACGTTGAGTACTTTATAGTTTTAAAATTTTATAAATTAAATTAATAATAATCATCGTTAATAATATTCACCGATACTCCTCGAGCATGTCACACTCATTCAAATATATATTACTAACAACATAGTGCACATAACTCAAATAAAAGGCCAATGGAAGTCACGGATTAAATAAAGAGCAACCCCCCTCCGTTTTGACACGGTTGCCTATTTACAAGCCCATCAACAATATCCGGTTAGCACTGAGTCTGTCTTTTATGTCGGTAGCCTTTGGATAGTATCTGGCTGATCAGAGTTTTGAATCTCTCTATATTCTGACATGAGCAACGCAAACACTTGCTGATTCAGTGTACACATTTTGCCACTGGTTGATAATCTGTTTCACTTGGAAGATGATACTGATCTGTATTTGTAGCACACGGCCCAGAAAAGGTAATGGATGAAATTCAACGTGCTAAGCACACACATAAGCCAGTAGAATCTGTCAAGACGATAACTGTTTATCGAGTGACCTGAGAGCCACGGCCCTTTTCCTGAATTTTCCGTCACGTTATTTACAATCGATACGATCACCGAGCTCAAGAAATAGCCCATGGCCAAAGAAGCCCAGCAGAGTGATGTAGCCAAGGATCTCATGCTTGATGGCGCCTCGGTGAAGAAAAATTCAAGTAACCCTGCCAATGTGAAAAGATCTGCCGATCCCATACTGCAAGGAAATCCAGAAGAAAGTAATGGGTAGTGGATTATTCAAGTCGAGTAGTCCCGAGTTAATCGCCACTCTTTTTCGCTTGGTTTCGACAAGAGCTGCCACTGCCATGGCTATTATTGAAATAAATAAACCGATTCCTATTCGTTGCAATTGCGAGATGCCGGTCTCGGTTTTCGTAAACCGGTGCTAGGATCATATAAAGACGACTGGAAAAACCGGTAAGGAAGCTGGTGGGATCTTCAATGAACCGAGCTTAGTGATCATGGTGGCAGCTTGTTCGACGGTGAATGTGGATAGCTGTGCTAGGCAGCAGTTGAGAACAACAGTGCAAGCAAATATGGGAAGGATTTTAAGCACAACCTTGACTTCATCTACTTGCTGGACCGAGCATTCGAGTGCCCTGTAACTCGGTTTGTTCACCACTGCTCTGTCGATGAATTTGAGGCTATTCGTCGGAATTTGTTTATTATTTTCTTCAGTTTCCTTGCTGGTTTCGGTCTGATACTAGGGGCTCGCCGCAAGGCTCGCATTGGCATTTCTTGGAGTTCGGCTTACGCAACTATTCAGCGTAGCAGCAAGCAAAACCTGTACAAACACATACATTCATTTCTTCTTTTGAGGAATTCAATCAAGTATTGTACGTCAGGTTTGCTTTTAGCATCCGAAAATTTACCTTGCAAATGGTGGTTAAAGGGCTCCCAAAGGGTATTCTGTTCCGATAAAACGTGGAACCGGAGAGGAACATTGGGATCGATAACAAGATCGACATCGTAGAGATGGCGAAACCCCATTCCCAGCCTTTGTTATCTTCGATCCAAACAACGAATGTGACGGTAATAAGGGAACCAGACGAGAGACTGAAGACGAAGTAGTTGAAGAAAGTGGATCTTTGCTTCCTTCCCTTTGGGGTATGCTCATCCAACTGCTCCGCACCATGAGTTGGTAAAGAACCCTTAATCCCTCCAATGCCGAGTGCCACCAGATACAGTCCTGTGAACAGCATTGCCGCTTTCGCTCCACTAACTTCCTCGCATGGAATCGACGATGTTGATGGACTGCAGGCAGGTGGCTTTAGGGAAGGAGTCCGAGCTTGTATCGTAAGAATGATCAAACCCTAATAAAATCATATTCAATTCTACATTAAATATTATCCGAAGAAATAAACAATCGATTTATCAACGTAATTACAGTTGGAATAATAATTAAAAAAATGTCCCTTTCTTCCGTATTATCCACACACAAGATTTTGTACTACACTGTCATTTATCAATGAAATCTCGTTATAATGAACCTGGTGCTGTTTTCTACTTGGCCTTAAAAAGAAGGATGCATGTGGGTTTGATTCTCACTATCGGTCTACCACAGTAACAAGTAGCCACACACGTGGTTCACGAACCTGCCCAAAAAAAAAGTACCTATTCGTATATGAATATATATATTAAAGAGAAAATAATCTCAGTAATCAAAAATACCTTATAATATTCGATTTAACCAACTTTTTTTAGATTTGTCAAAATGACCAACTAAATCGCAATGCGATCGATAATTCGCAACGCGATCTCCGGTATCGCATATCAGTTTCCAGATTCGCAACGCGATTCTGACTATCAGATTACGATTTTCCAAATTCGCGTTGCGATTTTCCGAATTCGCAATGTGATAGTCCAAAATCGCATTGCGATAGCACTGTTCACCGTTGCGATAGCACTGTTCACCGTTGCGATAGCACTGTTCACATTGCGAATTTACGATATTACTGTTATTTTCTGTCTAGAAGGATGCAAAAAAACTTCAAACTTGAGATTTTTTTTGTTTGAATTCTCTTTAATGGTATATGGATTTATTTAAGTTTAATTTTGTTTAAGAATGGATTTTTTTTTTGCGATAGTACTGTTCACAAGATCTGGATCCAAGTGCATTTTCTTTTTCTAATATTATTCTAATAGGTCTAGTTCTTAATTAACAGATGCTGATGCATTTAAGACTCATTTAATCTTTTTTTCTCATACAGTAAATTTTTTTCTAGTATGTCAGTGAAACATCTCTAGAACCAAAACTGATGCATTATTTCAGAGAGACAGTAATAGCTCATCAATCAAGACCAGGCAAATACTAAACCATGGAATGTTTTAGCTTCAAACCCAGCAGCAAATTGGTCCATGGAAAATTCATATGGCCAACCATGTGTTGGTCTCCCTGTATAGTTTTCAGCTTCATTATAAACAATGCTCACTATCATCATAATCATCACAAACAAAACATTACTCAATAATTAAAAATCTTTAAGATAGAATGATAAACAATGCTCATAGATAACAATCAACTTCATTCACGATTTGATCCTT